AAAATTCCTATTTACATTTTCAGATATCCACGTAATAGTGTTTTCAGGTAATTTATTTTCATGATGAGTTGGTTGTTTGTGAGAAATCAAATATAAGATTTTAATTCTTACTTGGCATACATTAAAATCAATATTAATTGTAATTTTTCCTTTACATGGAAACTGATTAATTGGGGGTCTTGCTTCGCTTATTCTTTTAATTTGTTCAGGTGAGTGTTTGTGCTTTCTATCTATTCTTTGAGTACAGCCAAGATATGCTGATGCTTTTCTGATATTATTTTTGTATGTGTGAACTTTTCTAACTTCCCAATGATATTGAGACCTAGCTTCAATAGGTAAGAGAAGAAAAGAAATTAAATTACGAATTTTAGTTTTTTGGACATTATTGCTCAACTCTTGGATGTTATTCAACTCTTGGACGTTATTTGATTCTTGGATGTTATTTGATTCTTGGATGTTATTTGATTCTTGGATGTTATTTGATTCTTGGACGTTATTTGATTCTTGGACATTATCTGATTCTTGAGGATTATAGATCAATTCTTCCTCAAATTCAAAAGTTTCAGAAAATGTTACTTCTTGATTTTCTTCAATATTTACAAAATGTGTAGTAACTAACTCTTCTAATTCGTCTAATTCATACAGAACAGAATCTTTATTATCATCAACTTCTTCTTCTGAATCACTAACTTGGATAATTTCTGATTCATCACAAATTTCTGAATTTTCAAGTTCATTAGCTTCATTAATTTTAGGTTTTGAAGGTTTAATTCGTTTTTTTGTTGAGCAATCATTGCATCTAGAAAACTCCTCCAGCTTTTTGTTATCATTGAGTCTAATAAATTCTTCAAGTCTCTTTCACTTTGTGCAGTGGAAACATGATTTTATTTGGATATTATTAGTAACATTAAGCATTTTGTCTAAGTATATCATTGATTGTTCTTTTTGATGAAATTCTTAGATATTTATATTATATAATTTATACTTGTTTGTAATGAGTTTTTATTAATGTTAAAAATTTGTTTTATATTCGGAATTTTGGTTTGTTTCTATAATTTTTTTTATAATTATATTTTTGTTTCTTTATGAAGTTTTATTTTAAATACTAATATTATTTTATTTTGTTATTATTAAGTAACCTTTAATCTGATTAATTAGTCAAAAGATTTTTTTTTTTTTATTAAATGATTTCGTTTGCAAAAACCTACTCAAAGCAATTGTAATTACAGTTTTTTTATACTATGTTTAATATGCTTGCTAATACAATATCTTGAATGAATTTTATAGATACATAATTTTCATTACTTATTTTTTTTTTGAAGCTTCATTATATAATTTCATTCTATTATCAATCTCTAATTTCACAAAGGTTGTAATTTTTTTACGTTTTATCATTAACTTCCTTATTTGGTTCTAAATTATATTAAAAACCAGTTTTATGTCATTTTTATATTTTTTTTTGAGGTTTCATTCCTTTGTTGCACATTATTCGATAATCATATTAATATTTAAATGTAACTTCTTTATTTGGCCATAGCTTATTCTTAAAAACTAGGTTGACAACAATTTTTTTTAATTATTACTATGCGCATTACAACTTGAAAATAAAAATTAGATGTGCATGCGCATAGGATGCAACATAGTATGAAATTCATTTATTAATAATACTACTTGAAAGAATGATAGAGCCAAATTTTGATGGTATGTTTGTATCTATAATAGACATAGACTTGATTTCTCAAACTTATTTAACTATATATATATTCAATCATTATTCTAATTAACACTCTCTGTTTAAGGACTTATTTACAATCAGTTCATTTAACAGTAACGTTTGTCATTAGTATTCGATAAGCATATTATATCCAGATACTACACAGAATATGGAAAATATCAATTATGCAGATGAAAAAAAGTGTTGATTATCCTTGATCATGTTTCAAAATTTTAATTTTTTTTTTAGATTTTTAATTTATTTTATTTTTAATTTGATTTTAAAACGGTAATAGACAATAGCATTTCAAAAAAAAAAAAAAAATAGTTCTGCTTAATGGGCAGCTAGGATTCATTCAAAAATTGACATTATTAGATTAGATTTTTTTTTTTTTTATCACATGAATTAGTATTCTTGAAAAGTAACGTGAATGATAATATTTTTGTTCTTTTTTGATGGTATGGCAAATGGTAGGGAAAGCCGTTAATCAGCCTGAATTGACATTGGTAAACTGAGCTATCACTTTTTGTGGATTTATTCATTGTCAAAGTGATTGTCGATGAATAATGAAAAGACAAATTTGTCAGTCACACATCTTTGTTAGTATTGAAATAAGTTGCACACAAACTAAAAAGTACGTAATTTAGCCATTCTAATTTATTGTTTCAATTATTTTAGTGATTCATTTAACCTTTGATTTATTGCTTTAATAATCGTGGCTATGACATTAATCCTTATTAATTTATTATTTAATGGTTGGGACTATTGAGTCAAGTAATAATTGCTTTTAAGATGCACAAAAGAAATGTTAAAAATAATTTATCAATCTTACTGCAATATAATGAAGTTCTACATCTATTTGCTTACGATGAGGTTTATGAAAAAAGATCCAAAAAGCCTACTTGTGTCTTGAAGCTTAATATATATGCTTGGTTATTTTTATTGGTATGTAGAATGCTTCTATGTCTATTTAATTTACCTTTATTAAACATCTTTATTTTCTTTAATTAGAATAAAATAGTGGCATACTTCTATAATCAGAAAGTACATCTTGTTCGATGTTTGGTTTATTTGGGCAGAACATTAATTATTTGTAAAAAAAACGACAGTACAGATAAATTCCATTCATGGCAAGCTACGCTTCTTTTTTATTCTGCTGTATCAAGTGAAGTTTTGGATTTCCTACAAGGCAAGATTAGATTCGTGAGTTCAAAAATAATTATAATTATAATTATTATAATTATTATTATAATTATTATTATTATTATTATAATTATAATTATTATAATTATTATTATTATTATTATTATTATTATAAAATTATAAGAACAGGTTATTCCAAACTTTAAATCCTTGAAATAAGTTATTGATCACAAATTTATTATATTTTATTTGAGTTTTTATATCGTTATTTATTATATTTAAATTTCATTTATATTACAATTATCGCTATTTACAATATTATTTGCAAAATTGGATTCTTTGGTCTAATAAATAAATATTTCAAACTTCACTGCATTATTACATGTATTATTATTTTTACTAATTTGTTATTTGAACTGGAAATTTTCATTAGATTATCAAGCTTTGTTGTAAATATTGGTTTTCTTGGCTCAAATCCAGTAATCTATTTTTATTATCCTCCAGGACTAAACTGATTATTATGATAGCTTTCAAAAATTCGCTGATCTGTATTCATTACATTCACTGCATACTAAACAGTCATGCACATTTGGGATCTTTGCTATGAAATTCGAGATTTTCTAATTGGGCTAATTCAGACAAACTTAAGCTAGAATACTGGTTCTTATTTGCATATAAACAAAGATCATTAAAGTAAAAGATAGTTTACATAAATAAGAATCGCCCGATTGAAAAATCTCGAAGGGTGAATGGATTCCATTTATATTTGGATAAAGAGACTAAACAGACCTTTATTTAGAATTAATATATGCAACTAAAACATTGTTCGCATAAGTTGAATGTTATTAAGAAAAAATGAAGCCTTTTGGCTTTTTGCAGATCAAAGTTTTCTGAGGCTAAAATCTGAAATAGTAATTAATAAATAAACCTCAATGCCCAAGGTATATTTTCCTTTAGCAATGCATTGTTCGAAACAAATCTTTAATTAAAATTATTGAGTTCTAATTTATTTTTATTTAAATATCTATTAAAACAATGATTAAATCTGTTAGCTAATCATAGTCAAGTGTTAAATGATTTTCATTATATGTGCTTGATAGCCAATCATTGTTAGAATGATCATCACATGATTGCGCTCATATTCGCCACCACTAAGTTACTTGTCTATTTCTATCCAATTATTTCCATTCTTGAACACCTCTTTAACTGTTTTAATATAGTGGTTCTTTCTTAGAATCTACTAGATATACTTTATTCTTTCTTCTTTGGATTTTCTTGGCAAGGCATATGTTGACATATTTGCTTTAAAGGACTTATTTTTATCACATATTTGATTATCTGAAGACTATCGACTGTGTTTGATTGACCCTGTTGGAAACATTGTTTCATCTTCTTTACTGTTTATTTCTTCTTCTTGTTCTATTATTTCTATATCCATGGTTTCTATATTTGTTTCTTTGGTTTTTGTTGATATTTCTTC